GCATAACAGACGGGGAACCTGTGCTCAGCGCAAGTCCCCTCTGGAGAGTTTGCGTTTGTAAGCTGCCTGGGGTAGAGGGAAGACTCCCAGGGGGTCATGTAGGAACCGAAGCTTTTAGGCAGATTTCTAAATATAATACAGAAGGAACGCAGGACGCTGGGGAAGACGGAGTGGGGAGACACAAAGTAGTGAACGTGAGCACCGCGTGTACGAGAAGTGGCTGTGATGGCAGGACAGCATGGCATGGACAGTGATGGTGAACAACGGGGCTTCCTGTGGTGGAGCGCAGGGCTCTGTGCCACGACCCGCTCTGCGGCTCACTCTGGGAAGTCTGCCTTTCTCACCGATCCTTCATGCGTATGGATTCTTGGATGAAATGCTGACTGGTGTCCAGGCGAGCTCGGGGCGAAAACAGAGCCCGCCTACCCGACGTGGGACAAGAGGACTCCCAGTCGATGGCTAGATTCTTGGATTCTGCGTGGACTGCGTGCATCAATGTACCCAGGCTAGCCCAGCCTGGTTTTGGTGATCACAAAGACAATGCAAAGACTAGTTTGCACTGTTCGTGACTTCCAGGAGGTGTATTTGTGCAAATGTTTCGATTATACCCTGCCCTCGTCCCACCTGGATGACAGCGAGTGACGAGAGACCAAACGCTGGGTCAGTTCAGGGAGCATGGGTAAGGCCGCCCGGGAGGGGTTTCCTCCTTAAAGAGCTTCGTTCTTCCTTCTATGAACAAGGAGGGGTGAGCTCTGTTGTCAGTGACCTCCAAATTCTGAGGTTGGACTGAGCTAGAATGAAAACAAGTCTGAAAGGAAACTTGCAAAGAAGACTATTCAGGGAGGTCTCTAGGCTGAACCCGGCAGCTCCCCCATGAATCAGCCTCGCACAGTGTCATGTCTTAGCACTGCGCCACTGTCCAGCCCTGGCCAACCATCAGGATCCAGGAACAAACCTCACGGATCTCATGAGCTGGAAGAGAGCTTAGGAACCCCCAAATCCAACCCTTCTCCCCAGGTAAGGAGTGTGCTCCAGAGGGTGGAACAGGGAAGAGGAGGGTGAGTTTTGCTTTCTCCAAACAAGACCTACCCTCCCTCTCTGTAGGAGCCACCTTTCTGATTGTGGTTCTCTACGTGTGGGTCCCAGCTTCATTCAGAGCGGTGTTTTCCAAGATGTTGCCCAGGCTGGTGCTAACTCGTCTTGTGTTCTGCATAGCCACAGCATGACAACTCCCACGTTTCTGGCAGTGGCCCTCCTTGATAATTTAGGCTCACATTTGAAACATGCATCAACATCTTAGTGTCAAGCTAAAGGACCGTGAATCTTATCATTGATTATAACAACCTGCTTCACTGGGGACAGTCCACGGGGTGTCTGTGGTCTTCTCTGATAACCCAGCCCCACTCTGACTAAGTGATCTCCCCATTAAAAAGGTTTGGAAGATAAAGTTTTAGGGATCCTTTGCCCTACTACATACGCTGGAATAACTATAGTTAGCATGTGAGAGAAAATTTCTTTCAACTGGCCGTGGGCTGGGATCTAAAATAAGAAGATATTATTTTTCACTTCTCTTATTGCTCACGCTCCTGTGGATTATTTGAAGCAGCACCAGTTTGGATGAAAGCACAGCTGCGAGATGCACAGGGGGGTGACGGGCATGCAGCAGGTCGTTCCGGAGACGCTCTGTTCTTTCCTGTATAAACATCACAGGGCTCCAGAACTCCACGCTCAGGAAGAGTACTGTTAATATTATGGGTGATCTTTCTCTTTAAGCAATTCTATATTAACAAAGAAAACCCTTCCCAAAATAAAAAGGCTTGGCGCTCCAAACTGGTAAGGTTTCCCGTGAAAGATCTTCCGCATCCGACTCTGCCTCCAGTCACTACAGGCATCTGCGGTGTTGAACGCGACATGGGGTCTCTCACAGGCAACATAAAATAGCGGAGTGAAAGAACAGTCAGGCTGAAAGGGGGCACATTAAGAGAGTATTAGAAAGGGAGCTCCAGCCTAGATTAGGAGTCTTAAGAGACAGCCTGTGAAATCTCATCGTAAATAAAAGGTAACTGCCAGACTGAGGGAAACCCAGTGACAAGGCCGAGGCGGTGAGGTTTTTCCAGTAGAAAACGCCTTCCGTTTCAGAAGGGATGAAGAGCTCATCACTCGACCTCACGCTGCCGTAAAGTGGTCACCGCAGTCCATTCGCTAAGGAAGATGGGAACCAGCCCAGGCTCTCGGTCCTGACTCCACACAGGGTTATCGGACTCTCAGATGAAGAAGATTTAGCAAAGCCATGGTACGTGCTGAAACACACGAGGGGCTTAAAATACGGCCTCCAAATGAAGATGCATTGTGTCACTGGAGTTTTGAGTTCTGCTTGTCAACAATAATAAAGGACAGCCTAGCTGTTGGCGGCACATGCTGTTAAAACGCTGTGCTCTGCAGGCTGAAACCCCATGGGAAGTCTGGGTTAGACTCCCAGTCCAACCCACAGGCCGGTGTGGCAAGGTGGTGCACGCCTGTAGGAGAGACTCTGGAGGCTGAGGCGGGAGGACCACGAGCTTGAGGCTGGCCTGGGTAACATAGCAAGACTCTGAAGAAAGGCAGAACCTGTGGCGTGTGCCTGTGGTCTCACTTGGAGGTTCATGGAGGAGGATTGGAACATGGTGCCACTCTGTCTTAGGAAACAAAACAGCAGTTTAAGTGTAGGTAAAGCACAATGGAAGAGAAGGGATAGAAGAAAGAAAAAGAAAAAGAAGGCAAACGGCGAAGCTGCCATGCAGTCTCCCTTCTGTAGTGCCAAGCACTGAGTTCTAACTGACGGTGTAAGGCCTTCCAGACACCCCGGCTTAGTTCCAGCCCTAGAGCATGGTAGGCCCTGCGGTTTGGAGCTTACTCTCATCCTCAGAGCTGATGATGGTACCTCGTGTACACGAGGTGCTCACCGAACACTGGATGGATGAGTGAACCTTGGGACCAATTCCGCTTCTGACTTCACCTCTAGCTCTTCTGTCCCAAGGAGTTGGCACCAACCCCGCTTAGGTTTATGAGGGTCTGTTAGCAATATTTGAACCTGCATCACTGCTCTTTGGAGACAAACTCCTTCAAGAAAAGAGTGAAGAATATTTAGATAATTTGGGTACAACCAAGAAACCATCGATTTCCACAGCGAGACCATGAAACTCATGAGTTCAGAAGGACGTTTTCACAGGCTGTAAACTCTGCGCATGTTTTGAGGGGTGGGTGGAAATGTGTCAGTTTAAGCCTCTACCACAAGTGCCATCAATCGTTTGCATCAGTAGGAAGCTGTCTCTTGTTTTGTGACTACAGAAAGCCAAGGGATGAGGGGTCTGGACTCTCTGGAGCGACTGCTCTCACCGCTTCACTCGCATAGGCTGGCCTTGTCTCTTCTAATTTATGTGCATTTTCCTTTCTGAGAGGACACATCGACCTTTTCATTCACAGCATTCTGAGAGTTAGTTCAATGATGCTAATCGCAGTGCCAGCCCTTCCACAATCTAGACTTCATTATTATTAAACAGATTTTAGTTTGGCCTCAAGCAACTGAACGATGATGATAACAAAAGCGAAAGCTGATTTCTGACCACTTCCTGTGTCCCAAACATAATGTGGAATGTGGCATCATTTAATTTTCGCACAAACTGTAGGAAATAGGCACTGTTTCCTTTATTTTACAGAGGTGACATCTATTTCAACTCTGTTCTGCTTATTTTACACTTTTGCAGAAAATTATAAAGCTAGAAAGGGTCTTACGAAGCCACTTCATCCTATTCTTCAGTCTCTAGAAAGACAGAAGCCACCCTCAACAGCTGAGTAACTGCTTCTCTCAAAGACCTTCAGAAAAGGCCTTTTTCTGAACACTTGCATCTAGTCCATTTCATCTAGGCCAATGATAAATCAAAACTGACTTCAGAAAGTTCTCACTTAAACCTAACGTTTCTAACTGCTATTACCTCAGGTTTCTCCAATATGAGATTTTGCAAGCTTGGATTTCCATGAACTAATTTTCTCCAACAGTAATTTTTCATGCACTTGAGGAGGATGGTTTAGTTATATCTTATCTTCCTTTCTCTAGATGAAATAATTTTCAAATGGTCTTTTTGTTTAGGTTCCATTTTCCGATACCCTTTTGCTCTCCCTGGGACCCTTCTTCATGGTCTATCTCCATATGAATGGAAAGCAAAATGCCATGCTGAGCCAATACTGGTTACTACAGGAATGCTTTGCTGGGTCCAGCAGGTCCTCTGTCATGGAGGCTGACCAGGAGCCACTGTTGACTGAGTGTTTTAAAGTTATACCTGGTTGTCTTAATCCCAAGTAGTTTATTTAGCAATTCTGCACATTAGATTCTCAAAGTGAGAAGTTGTAACTGGAATGGGCTTTCCTTTATAAAATAAGGATCTTCACATAATTGACAAAGTTATAAAGTCATTCAGTTGGTTTTCATTGTCCAGCAATGACTACTACCCGACTATCTGAAGCAGGAGTCCCCTAACCCCCAGTGGCAGTCTGAGCCTGTTAGGAACTGGATGGTACAGCAGGAGGTGAGAGACAGGAAAGTGAGCAAGTTCCGCCTGTATTTACAGCCACTCCCCATTGCTTGTATTAGGGCCTGTGCTCCGCCTCCTGTCAGATCAGCAGTGCATTAGACTCTCATAGAACCACAAACCCTATTGTGAACTGCATGTGAGGGATTTAGGTTGCATGCTCCTTATGAGAATCTAATGCCTGGTGACCTAAGGTGGAGCTGAGGCAGTGATACCAGCACTGGGGAGCAGCTGCCAATACTGCATGATGGTGAGTTGTATAATGATTTCATTATGTATTACAATGTAATAATAGAAAAAAAGTGCACAATAAATGTAATGCACTTGAATCATCCCATACCATCCCTTCTCCACCCCACGGAAAAGTTTTCTTCCACCAAACCAGTTGCTCATGCCCTAAGTTGTTGGGGACTATTGAGCTAAGAGCCATCCGTGTATGTTCACTGGTTGGCCTTCCTGATTCTGTATCTTTAGACCCAAAGCACCTCAGGAAGTAGGTCGGGAAGCACCAGAACAACAAGCCTGCAGCCAGCTGACATGGTCGCTTAGATGAGCTAACCTGCAGATGACTTAATTTCTCCAACGTGGGCTTTCTCACCCATAAAATGGGAATAATAACTCTATCTCTTAATATTTTGTACCTCCAACCTGTGAGACACCTACATAGGACAACGTATGTGGGGGGTTAGCATGTTCCCGGCACATAGCAATGAATACTTAACATTCCACTCTGCCAAACCCAAGTCTTTAAAAAACAATAATAAACAGAAAACAAACAAACAAAAAAAAGAGAAAAGTTTCTAACCAAATAACTGATTTTGAAGGCAATGAAGTGTATTTCTATACTTTTTTTTCTTTAGGTTTTTGCTGTGTGCTCTCTGGAGAGAGACAGAGAGATAGAGAAGGAAAGTGAGAAGTCACCCCCTGCCTCCCACATCCTCTGATGGAGGGATGGGGGTGGCCAGGACTCAACCCCTCCTCCATTCTCCTCTGCCGGCTCGCATGCACAAGTGCCTGCGTGAGTCTCAGTTGCCCGTCCAGGGTCGGTGGGAGGCTGGCCATGTGGAGTCCAGCACCTTAACACACCCCTTCCTGGCCCTATATTCCTACACTTTCTTACAGGGGTGTGTGTACAGATGAAATAAAAGTTGTCGTGGGAAAGGCTTCACCGTCTTACCGCAAACGAACGCTTGACGGAGGGCACGTTGCTGAATGTGATCACCACGGGGACGATGTCCAGGGCGCTGAACTCCATGGCGGCAGTGGTGACGGCCTGGGCGTCAGAGGACGGACCGCTGCTGAAAAACGTGGCGATCCTTCTTGTGTGCGTCCCCGGAAGTGTTCGCTTGAAGACGTTCCTGGAAATAAACCTCATGGCCCTGCCGATGTCCCTGCCTCCGGAGGCCCTCTCGTAAGGGATGGCTTGGATTTCCCTGAGGAGCTGGTCCTTCCGGTGGGCGTCTGAGAAGCGCAGCAGGTGCCTGGGGTGGGAGTCGTAGGAGAGGACGGCGACACGCGCCCCCACCGGGCAGCTATTCTCCCGCACTCTGAGGCCCCTCACCAGGGCGGCCACCAGCCCCTTCATGCGCTCAAACTCCTGCTGCGTGACGTCCCGCGACTGGTCCAAGACAAACACCAGCTCGGTGGGGTGCACAGGGCACTCAGGCTTCCCTGAAAGGCAAGAACACGCCCTTCATCAAGCAAGTGCTTCCTGGGGGGCGGGAGTGGAAGAGGAAGTGATTCTAAGGCTAACTATTCAAATACACTGTTTAAGCATTAAATAATTTAAATGCTACTTAAAAACATGTAAAATATTAAGTATTTAAATCTGGAATAATTACAGATACTATTCTAAAAGCTGATTTTGCTCTTTTGAGTCAGCACAAAAGATAACATCTAGAATTCAACTTGAGCTTTTCGTGGAATTCGTAAGTTAATCACCAAATTCCTTCAAACAGTGGGGAGCACCTGGATGCCCTTCTCCCTGAAAACATGGGATCAGAGACCCCTTTATTCAGACTAAAACACAGTGTTTTTTTTCACGTGGAAATGTAATGAAAGTTAAAAGGATGGCTGTGAAGCATCTTCGGTAATTTTGGAGAAGTTGGAAGAGTGCGACATCCAGTATTCCGAACAGACTGCTAGACGCAGGGAGCACGCCACAACGGTGGTGCTGGGAGCCTGTGCCGACGCCTCCTGGCCGTGCAGCCTCGTCCACGTGCCTAGTCTCCTCGGTAAAGTGCGAGCGTAACATCACGACTGCGTGGTCTGGGAGGGGACTGAGTGAACCAACATGGGCAAGCACTGAGGGCTACAGGGCCTGGCACGTAGTAGGTGCGCGGCCGCAGTAAGCCAGGGGCCACGGCCGGCACACGGACCTTTGCGCTGCGGAAGGCCACCACCATCGGCAGATCACTACTGGGACGAGGAAAGCCTGCGATGAGTTTTATTTAGCAGGCAAGAAAGGCAAGTTTACCCGACAGTTATGTTTATTACAGAGGAGCTTTAAACTCGCTTGCTCAGCTCCAGCGTAAGCACGCACTGCAGGGTCAAGTACCCTTATTAGTCGTCACCGGGCCGTTCCATCTCTAATCCAGCCGCTGCGTGGCCCCCGTGTTCTCTCAAGCACGCCTGTTTCTGCCTCCCTCTGAGTCCGCCGTACCGCGTCCCCAGCTCCTAGGCCAGCCTCGCCCGCCTGTGTAAGCCGGACTCTGCACGTGGTTCTGTGCACGGAGCTCTCGCAGAGCTGGCTCCTTCGTATTCTTTCTTGTATTTCTAATGATACTGTTTTTAATTTTATTTTATTTTTGATGTTTTGTACGTGTTGCGTATCTTTACAATGTTGAAAACGAGTCTTCCAGCACGAATACCTCGTGTGTTAGCCCAGGTTAGTCCAAACTTCCCTTTTGCCGCCTCAGAGAAGCGCTCTCCATCCAAAAGCATCTCTCCCTCCCTAACGTCCCCGTTGATGGAGGATCCTGTGCTCTCCCCTTTCGCCATGAGAGGATTCTAAATTCTTTCCATTTGTTATGATTGGGGCTCGTGTGCAGATGGAAGTTTCTGAGGACAGGAATCCTGCCCGTTACTCACACGGCATGGGTGCAGGACAGGGAATGCCTGCGGTAGGCCTGCCCTACACGCTGGGAGCAGAGGCGAAGCACCGCAGCTGGGCGGAGCACTCACAGGAATGGACAGGGTGTGCATGTACGAGGCTGAGGGCGGGTTTGTGCGAAAGCAGCGTGTAGGAGGCATTTGGAAAGGCCTGGGAACTAGCGCTGACAGGTAAGGAGCTGACTGGCGCCCAACATGGGGCGTGCGGTCTGTGCTTGAGCAGCACCTAAGCCCCGCACTGCACTTATCTGACCACTCTGCCTTCTGTGCCCAGTCGCTAACCACTGCACTCAGAGACAGCATGACAGAGACAGAGGGAAGTGGAGGGAGAGAGCATCGCAAACCAGGTTAATAGCAAGGTGGGCAGTAACACGCGTTGGTAAAATCTTAGCGATAATAAAAAAGCAAAGCAGTTGGTGGGGAAATAGCTGCACTCAGCTACACCGAGTGATTTATTGGAGATAGGTCCCTGCTACCGGCACAAGGCCGGAGAGACGCCCAGACACATTTACACCCGTTGGCGGGCAGCCCACCGTGCGAGCTCATCTTTCCAGCTGCACGGCATTCTGGAGCTTGATTAAAACATGCTGTAAATAAAGATTACTCACCGTGTCCGCCAGCTGGGGAGGAGAACAAAGGATACTGGGTTATTATTTGGTAAGAGGAGAGACTTCTCACGACAGCAAGGCCCTGTCCTGTGCTTTTATGTAAATGACTCAGAAGTCAAGGCGATGGGTGGGGTCTGGAGAAAACGCACAGGGCCCAGCACCTCGGGAAGAGCATTGGCTCCTTCCATAGGGAAGGGGGCAGAGGTGGGACAAGGAGGCCACTTAACCGC